AGCCTTCACTTCCAGAGCCTTCACTTCCAGAGCCTTCACTTCCAGAGCCTTCACTTCCAGAGCCTTCACTTCCAGAGCCTTCACTCCCAGAACCTTCACTTCCAGAGCCTTCACTTCCAGAGCCTTCACTTCCAGAGCCTTCACTTCCAGAGCCTTCACTTCCAGAGCCTTCACTTCCAGAGCCTTCACTTCCAGAGCCTTCACTCCCAGAACCTTCACTTCCAGAGCCTTCACTTCCAGAGCCTTCACTTCCAGAGCCTTCACTTCCAGAGCCTTCACTGCCAGAGCCTTCACTGCCAGAGCCTTCACTTCCAGAGCCTTCACTTCCAGAGCCTTCACTCCCAGACCCTTCACGTCGACTCTCTGAATATCCACCCTCAGAATACCCACTCTGAGAAGTTCAACTCTCATAACATCGGCTCTAACAAAAGCAAATCTAAGAATATCAGCTCTGAGAATATTAACTATCAGAATATCAACTCTTTGAACACCAACTTCCAGAACATCAACTCTCAGAACATCAACTCTTAGCATATCCTCTTACAATAGCTTAAAGAACACTCACAGAAACTGCCTCCATATTATCCCTGAAGGAGAGGCTTCTTTTGAAAACGACACACGTGTACCTTATTATGCTTTCTCTTTTGTTGCTTCTGTCATTTATTGTGAGGTTTGGAACATTAGCTCTTACAAATATATTGTCCAGATAGCACCACAAAACAGCTGCCTTTTCTGCTGATGGCAGTACCCATCTCTGCACACCAGCTAGTGACGTTTTCTTCGGCTGTCTGTTGCCTATCACTTCCCTGCCTTATGCAAGAACATCTTTTGCTAATGTCAATATCCTTCCAACACCTGGTGTTTTAAGTTCTACACATGGATTACATGGTTCTGATGTCCAGCTACCCAGGCGAATAACAATCATACGTAAAGGCACGACAACTGCTATCCAGTTCACCAGCCAAGAACACACCCCTTACTCCATGAGCAGAGATATCGAAATATCATATCTGACTCTATTGTAGGCACACTTCATTCTATCATGTGCAATCTTTTCGATGCAATTGATGATATCTCGTCTTTTATCCGTCTCGAAGAGAACAGTCTCGTTTTTTTTAAACACTCCATGATTTTCTATTCATTCTTCTGTAAAACCACACCTTTGTCGCCAGTAATTGTTTCTTAGCTTGTCTACTTATTGTACATGATATAAGATAAAACGGCACAGGTTCTATTTAATACTTTAGAAGTCTTATTGTCACTGCAAGTGACATCTTCATTGTGGTTGAAGTCAAAGTTATCTTTTGTTTCTTACTAAAGGTCATTTGCGATGGCGATTCTTGTTCTAATTTTCACAAGATGTCTTGTTTCAGATATTGTGACTGTTCCTAGATAGATATATATCCATTAACTTGTTTGAGAATGTTTCCATGTGCATGTATTTCATACACTGAGGTATTTCTGACTTCTTGGTGATGACCATAATTTATGTTTTCTTACAATGTAGTCCTAAGCCTAGTTGCTCACTGTGGACTTATCTGTATCCGCTAAACACTGCAGATCCTGTTAATTGTCTGCAGTCAACACCGTCTTATCTGCATACCTTATTTTGTTGATGCTATATGTTCCTATGTTGATTCTTATTATGTTCTTTAGATATCTCAAAATATTATCGCTGTTTATTATTTAAAGTTGCAATAAGTATGCAAGTAAAGGAATAAAGTAAACGAAAGCAAGAAAGAAAACTGGTAAACAAATAAGTAAAATTACTACTAAAGAAACAATGAATTACTATTGGATCCAGCCTCAAGCCACCCGAGAAGCGCAAGACTAATGCAGAAAACTACGACACTGGGCTAGAATATGATAATCAGTGAGACGACAAAAAAGAAAAAGAAGAAGAAGTAAAGGAGCCTTTCCACACCAGTAGCCAATTTAGTATACAATACTACAGTCATTTTTTCATAGGATGGATGATGTGGTGAACATGATGCCGGCCGCATTTATTCCCTAGGAAGAGCTACATTACGCAACAACAAATTTGTTATTGTAAGAAAAAAAGAAATGCGAAAATAGGAAAGCAAACCGGAAGCGAGCGTCATCACCATCTTGACCGTCTGATTATATGACTGCAAAGTGACATTGGTAATGAAAACTGTCGATTATCTTCGCAGTCAAAACTATGGTCAAGAAAAGGGATATCAATTGCTTGTTCAGATTAGAAGGTACGCATTTAAAGCCAGCTGGCTTATTTATTAGAAGAAGACAGACAGCACTTGGGTTCTTTGTAATCCCCTCTATTCTACTATGCGCTACTGCTAGTCCAAGTCAAGACTTCTGCTTAGTACAGAAGTTGATGCTAGTCCTCGTCTGTTACAGTTATCTGTTTGACACCCTGAGTTTTTAGTCTGTAGGCAGACCTACAAGGGACTTAACCCAGGATACCCCGTTCAACCCCTGTAAGTTAGTATTGAAGGAATTCTTCTAATGATCTATGAAAATCTATGCTATGTCTCAGGATTAAATATTTGTCAGCATCATAACGAATTAATTTAGTGCCACTGGTCCTTCACGTCACTTAACTGTTACGACAGTTACGTATTCGTACATTCGTGTAATACAAATAATACATAAATGTGTGCTGAGATACTGTTATTTATACTCTTGGCATTAACAATACTGTTTAGTTTAGGCTCTTATTGATGGAGAGAATTAGTTGAGAACCGACACCAGTTGGGGCAGTTATTCCCATCATAATCTTGTTATTTATGAAAACATTACCAGTTTCAGTGCATAGATCCAATACCAGTAATGCTCTTTGTATTCTAATCAAATGTTCAGCTTTCCTATTCTTTGGTCGCTCCAATGTCGGTCATATTTTCTTGACAATTGAATGATCATAAAAAATGTTAACTCCTACCACACCCCCTCTCTCATCTTTCTTCCACTGTCCATTGACAGTCCCATAAAGTATTTTCACTACTTTTTTTTTTTTTTAGCCAGGATGAGTTATTTAGAGTTCCTTTTTTTTTGTATTTCCTATTTTGGTCTGCAATTGTTTATTTTCCTCTGTGGGTTCCAAGATAAATATTGCCATGTTATTTTTGTGTAAATTCCCAGAAACTGCCCACATTTTGGTTTTGCTTCTCGCATGCTTTCCTTGAAAGATTTCCATTGTGAAATACCTTCATCATTATCATTAAGTCCTTGCCAACAGGCATGGGTAATCATGCTCTCCACAATCTGTGATCAGCAGCTGCATGTATCAGTTCATGTGTTGACACACCTCCATGACATAACAGAAAGCTTCTCACGTTGTCTTCCACTGTCTCTTTTTCCACAGGTTTTAATAAATACTTCAGACATCAGTAAATAGACATGGTGCTGTCTCCACAGTGGAAGTAGGCTGCAATGTATTTGCTGTTAACTGTAAGAATATAATGTGCTGTGACTATCGCACCACTGACTAAAGGCCATGAGAACGGTCTTTCTTAACTGCTCACTGCAGAAATCACACCCCGGATTTTGTATCCTCATAATGTAACTTGTCCTGGGAAGTAAATGCCTCCGGCTGGATGTTGACCACATCATCCATTGTACAAAATATATGAGTATATACCCAATATAAATATACACCTATTGCGCTACTGATGTGGCAAGGCATCTTTACTTACCTACCTAATGTAACTTGAAATTATTGCGAATAATATTATGAGACATAGGTTCAGAATTACATGGCGAGACCCAGTCTCTTCCACGATTTAATCCTTATATACTGTCTGAAGACCATGGGAATGTATTTCTTAACGGCTCACAGCGGGAATTGAACCTTGGTTAATACAGAGTATTTCATTGTGAAATGAGTTCTCTAAATTCCAAGCCACAGAGTAGTTTATTAATAACTCACTCAAAAAAAAAAAAAATCATCATATTTCCATAGACAGAGTGCTTGATGGGTAATGTGATCAACACTGTGGCTTCTTTACTTCCCATAACTTTTTTCCTTGTTTTAGGCTGAGTCAACTCATGTCACCTATACAAAATTTGATATATGGATTTACCACATAGGTAATGGATTCATGGGTTATGTATTGAAATACTTGAGATTATTTTTAATGATTATTTTGTAAGAGAGTGCCTTGATACTAACTGCCACAAAGAGCCACACCACAGAAATATGAGCACAGAGGAAGGGAAAGAAAGACATAAAAGAAGTAAAGAAAAACCTCAAAGAGTTGAAGACTTACACAGTGCACTGTAAAGAACACACAAAAGATCCATATATCGCCCCTGGTTCACAACCATATTAGTCAAAAGGATTCATCTGATTGTTCCTACCTATTTGATTGTAACTGTAGCGTGCACCTGACAAGATAAAATGAGATATGACAGGCAGTAAATACTGCATGCAAAAACATACAAGCACAGTGCCAGCCTGATAAAGAGAACTCCCAGAGGACCCAGAAATTGTTCTTGTCAGAAATTTCTCTTATCCAGATAATACAAATTGCAGGGGATAAACAAATTGTTTTTCACAGCAGAAGTGTGCCACATCCAAGATTGCCTTAAGCAGTTTGTACTGTACTTACATACCAGTTTTAACTTCTCTAACATATTTAGAGAAGACATGCAATATAGGATACAATCTTTGAATAGCAGATAACAGAGAACCTGAAACTGCTTACGGGAAAGAGCTGATGGGGGTAGACCATGAGGCAGACCAGTATGATAGTGGATAGATAATATACAGGCAAACCTATAAAAATTTGAATTCACCAAATGGAAGGAGAAGGTCAGTCACAAAGATGAATGAAGGCAGGTGATTTCTGTGGCAGTAAAACCTCAAGGGCTCCAAAGGCTGAAGAAGAAACATAAATTACAGACTACATCTTCCTTGTTCAGAATTACAGCATTGCTTTGACTCTCATTTCTGTTCCATTATATTTCAGTTTGAAATGAAGAAGAATAGTTAACTCCAGCCTGTTGTTTGAAGCAACAGAATGTCAGCCCAGAACGACACACTGAACCAATACCTTTTTGCCTCTGGAGATCATGAAGAACACCAGTCTCTCAAGGTGGCAGAAGGAGCCTACAAAGGCTGGGTGCCAAGGGCTATCTATTCCAAAGAACTTTACGAAGTTCAACTACCATTTCTACGTCTGCTGAGTTTCCCAGTAGGAGGAACTGCATTAGGATCCTTGTCTCACAAGCTTACTGTGTTTGAGGCTGTCGGAAACTATCTGACAAGACTGCCAGCATGTTTTGCCGAGTGCCATAACCTTACAAAATTGAACCTGGGATTCAATTACTTTACGGAGATCCCATATCCTGTATATAGGTTAACAAGATTAGAGATTTTAAATCTGGAACACAATGACTTGGAAAGTATGGACTCGGAAATCCAAAATTTGAAGAATCTGCGGGTCCTAAATCTTAGTGGTAATTTATTAGAAGAGCTGCCAAAGGAATTAAGAATGTGTCGCAGAATTCAGGAATTACATCTGTCAGGCAAATTTTACCCTGGTGGCAAGTTGACAGAGTTCCCAGAATGCATCAGTTATTTGACGGAGCTACGCTACCTTGATTTGTCCTGGCAACATATCGGGAAAATTCCCAGGTCGATAGGAAAACTGCGGAAGCTACAGGTGCTGAATCTGAAATGGAACCAGCTGCAGAAAGTTTCCAAAGAGTTAAAAAAGTGTGCCAGGCTGAAGGTGGTGAACTTGTCAGGAGCCCTGCGGTTGTTGTCTGCAATCCCTGAGTCCCTGCTGGAACTTGAGGATCTAGAAGTAAGTTGTGGTCACTAGTGTTAAGTTGTGGTCACTAGTGTTAAGTTGTGGTCACTAGTGCTAAGTTGTGGTCACTAGTGTTAAGTTGTGGTCACTAGTGTATGTTCCCTGTTATAGGGAAAACAAGAATAACAAGAAGAAATAACAAGAATAGCATTCCAAAAGCATGTCGTAAGAGTCGACTAATTGGGAGCTTCCTTCGAAGTCGGAGTGCATCTGCCTGAGAGGCAAGGAACCAACAGTGTGTATACAAATAGGTCACATTTGTAAAATGGATGCACATGCAACACTCAGATTCTGGAACAGGACTACAGTCCAGAAGTGGACAAACAACCAGAATATTCCGCTGAAGTTTACAGCTGGTAAAGGTGAAGAAGAAGAAGACTAGTGTATGTTGTTTTGAAGGTTATTCTATGGAACTATTATTCTTCCAGTGCTTAACAATTGTTGCTTTAACCCTGTCCCACAGGCAAGCTTGTTTTTCTAACTTCTACAGGTTTTTGATGACATTACATCTCTGGGTAATGGCCAGTACACCTGTGAAACAGCTTTAAGCTATTTTATTTCACCCTATCTCAGGAACTCCGAGATTTCATGGGGAATTCCTGGGAAAGTCAATTTACACCCTAACATCCCTGTGTTATTGGACTTTCCTGGGTTTTGCCCATGAAATCTCAGTCCGCAAGATGGGATGATCTATAAGAAAAGAACCCAGTTTTGGTACTGACTGCAGCTGCAAATTGTGCAGATGTAGGCATGACTATTTTTAAAAAAAAAAGAAAAAAAATATTTTCTTGAAATGTAATTTTAGGTGGGAGAAAAATCAAATGATTTGTTTTAATTTGTGACATCCCCCGTCTCACCTCTGATTCCCTCACTGACTACTTACTCAGTGACTGATTGTGTGGCTAGCTGTCATTGTGCCAGTCTTCATGGTTGTGACTACGTGACATGTGGATTAAAAATTACTCTAGGTACTTCATTCATTATATTTCACTGTGGTTTACAAATTTTTATGCATGAGAGAAAAAGTAAGCCAGCTCTTTAAGGCAAATCACAAGTAGTCTGGTGTTGTCATTATTCTGTGCCATGCCGAGAAACCTGTATAGTTATGGTTTGCTGTCTGACACAATTACCAGAATATCAGATCAGATAGTGGGGTAGTAGTATCTCCTATTGAAAAAGAAGTGAGGCACTTCCTTCCCTCCACCAGCCTTTGGGGTAAATGGAGGAACGTCGCTGTAGCTACAGAGTTACGTGCGAATGGCGACACAGGTGGTCAGTTCTTATCAGCTGTCCGTACTGGTGGCAGAGCACTTATGGTTTATAACTGTATGCAATGACGCTGATTGACATCTCCTGACTTTACCTTTACCTTTAGCCTATGGGACACCCCTGAGCTTGTAAAATATCTCTTTCGCCCACTCCCCTGAAACACCTTTAACTCTTGAACCTCTGAATTTATTTTCTGCGCTCTGTACAGATTTCATACCTTCTTTAATAAAAAAAAAAATAAAACAACCATGTTAAATATATTTAAGCCTAATTTCTTCGCCTTTCTTCATAGCAAGTGCCAGCTGTAGCCTCAGGTGGAAAGTTCTGGTTGACTGCCCACTTCTGGACTTAATCTGGTTCCAGAACGAGTTCTACTTGCATATCCATTTGGCAAATCTAGCTTTTTTGTATGCAGACTGATGGTTCCCTGCCTGTCAGGCAGATGCACATGAAACAAGCCTAATTAGTCAGTCAGTTCATATGCCATCTTGCTTAGAGATCAAGGAAGACACCAACAAAACACACACATGGAGAAGGAAGATAGAGAGTATAGTTAAAAAGATGGGGAGGACATGGGGAGAGCTGCCTGCGATAATGAAGGATGTAACAACTTGATGTGAGTTGGTTGAGGGCCTGTGATCCACTGTGGGCTAGAATGGGAGAAGAAGAAGTTGGGGGGGGGGGGGGGGGGGTGAGCCTTCCACCAATGGGGCCTTGGAGCTCACATAGAATTGAAACCTAATATGATACACCTGTTACTGGTAATCATCTTTATGTCCCTGTTTAGCTAATAAAATTTGTGTCCACCATTCAGCAATTATTCTTGAGTGACAACTTCTTCACGGAGGTCCCCCAACATGTGTGTGGACTGGTGAAGCTCACCCAGCTGGTCATGCAGCGGAACTCCCTTCTGAGGCTTTCTCAGGATCTCTACAAGCTGCGATATCTCAGGCACCTGGAACTTAGTGATAATTTTCTGGAAGGTAACAGCTTCTCTGCTTGTTTAGTGTTTGTGATCAGGTTATTAGTTGCCGTTACAGTTTCACGACAAGGGGGGTTACTCCTTCATCATAACCACTGATGTCTTTAACCGTCATGGGGAGGAATCATTTTTTAATCTGGTGCACACTGGTTGTTGTTCTGCAGTGAGGTGTCTTTGATGTTGTTGTTTCATCTTTTCGTCGTCTCCCTAATTGTTCCATTCCTATAGCCAATGAAAACCACACAAAATGCATATTATTTCTCATGTGAAAAGTTGAACACAGACAAAAGTCCCGGTAAAAACCAAACTGCATGATAATTAAGAGCATAAGGCTGCTGCCAGAGATGCCAAAACAAGCAGTATGTCTCTAGAATTGTAATTCATTATTGATGGAAGAGTAGTCATGACAAACGAGCAGGTGTGTACACATTATTTCTTAATGCATACCACCACTTCAATGGTAACTAGCCTCCCACCATTTTCTGAATATGCGTTTCACAAAACAAATCACCAGGAGCACAGATAAAAAAAAAGCATTCTCACAGTGTTGCACCGTGCATCAACTCAGTAGCTGGCTGATGAAATCAGATTTAGCTGTGGGTTGAATTACAGAATTACTAGGGAGAACAAGATCCACCATGTGAAATGAGGTGAGCTTGAGCAAGAGAGGCTAAGAATCATGCATTACAATTAATTTGGGGACTGCGTGGTATTGAGGTATGGTGTGCGCCTTGAGTGCTAGAGGGTCTGAGTTCAATCCCCGGTAAGGGCTGGTTTTTTTGCGTGGAGTTGGACTTTAGTACATCCCCCTGGTCTCTGGGTAGTGAGATCGGATGCCCGTGTGCATTGTTGCTCACGTAAAAAAATCCCTTGGCAGTTGGAAATAAAAAAAAGATTAGCCTAATAGCGCTGCCTAGGCAAACATTTGGAGTTAAAAATCTACCTAAAGTATTTCATGATCCTCGCCGGTGCTACAGAGCCTGTGCACTGTGCTTAGCTTCTTCGGACTGAGACTTGAGTTAGAAGACGAACAGAGCACCTATGGGTTACTACGCATGTGCCATGATGTTGATCTGTTGTTCAAACCTCAAACGATTGACTACTTTCTCTGGATCCCTATTTTTATAATAATTCTGTGAATTTGAACAGAGAAGACAAAGAGCAGATTGCACAGTTTACTGTATTTCTAACTGTACCTCCTCAGGTGCATTCTAGATTAGCAGAATTAAATAAGATGAAGCAAATAAGCAGATTCTTTCAATTAACATACAAATATCTGACACTCAAATTTTACTGCCTAGGCTTACCAGTCACCCCCAAGTCGTATGCAATTTTGTGTTATTTGAAGTCCCACCCTGGCTTTTGCAGGGGCCGCTGAATATATCCGGGTCGTTATTATGGCCTAACGACTGAAAGGGGTTTCTGGGACCTCTCCGCGAACGATCCTCATTCACATGGTGGCACTTTGTGTCTCCGGATGTTTATCGCCTGTGTGATGTCCTGATGGGGTACAGCAAGAGAGAGGGAGAGAGAAATGTAACTGCCTGTTGTACCAGCAATAAATTGTACAGCCTGTGGAGGATCAGACAGTCGGCAGCAAAAGGTAACCCAGTGACATGCAGTGTTAAGGACTGTGTTGATGATCGTGATGAAGATTATATGTTGTAAATATTTCAGTTATACCTCCGAAAATCAAAAGTCTGAGAAAGCTAGAGTATCTGGGACTAGCCAACAATCGACTCACTGAACTACCGGAGGAAATCTGCTTCCTTGAACAGCTGACTTACCTGGGCTTGGGTAACAACAAACTGACACAGGTAAATTTACCTTTTCCTTACCTGGGGAGGTGTTTAAAAAATAAAGGACCCTTGTCACACCAGGGGTGTTGGGCATATGATGCTAGACTCATATTTGTGTTGATTGATGAGCACTCTGTGTGTAAGGTGGTCACTGTCATGTCGGCTAAGAACATTGTCCTGTACCAGTTTTGGGTTGGGTCAACCTGGGAGTACTTCATACAAAGCGAGACAGAGGAGCCGGTTCCAGAGATCTCTTACTGCCCTGACACTGTGAGGCATTTCAGGAGTAGAGAAAAAAAAAAGGCGAAGAACCTGGGAGTCAGTGTCTGTTTTGAAAAATTGCAGATGCCGATTTGAACCCAAGACCTTCGGGCCAACAGGTGAGCATCTAGCCACTATGTTGCCATAGCTTCCTGGAGACATGTTGGGTTTTAATTTTAGTTTGAGATTAATATATTTAAACATGTTTCACATTTGAGAGAGGAGTGGCTGGATTATTGGTTGAGAAGACTGTGCTCTCGTTTAGGAGTCCCAGTTTGATTTCTTGGTAAAGGGATAGATTTTTCTGTCGAGAACAGAAAATAAACTTGAACCAGCACAGCCAATGGCTCAAACCCCATGGTGCCAGTAAAAACCGTTCCGAATGCCTATTGCTGTTCTTTGGGGAAAACTTGAAACATTGCAGTCCAGGAAAGCCCAACAGCATGCACATGTATTAAATGCATTAGGCAGCCATCAGAACTGTCAGTACTAAAATTCAGGCACTAGAATTGCAGTTAATTTTCTATCGAAGCAGGAGCTAGCAAATCATCATTTATGGGGTAACCTGTTTCCCATGAGGTTGGAACTGTGACTCACTATTTAAATAAAGATTCCTGCATGCCTAGTTCTTAATTCCTTGAAAATAAAGTTTGTTTATTTGTTCCTTTCTGAAATAATTTTTATCTTGTTTGTACTTGTTAGTTGCCAGAAAATATATACAGGCTGCACAACCTGAGAACGCTGGATGTTGACAACAATGAGTTGCAAGATGTTCCTCTGCTGATGGATCGCTTGGAGCTGCTGGCCGAGGAGGATGGGTTGCATATCCTAAACAACAACCTGCGCAGCCCTTTCAGGGAGATCAGTGAGCAGGGGACCCGAGCATTGTTTGAATTCTTGAAAGGTGGGTCACCTGGTGTGGGTCATGGAGTCTCTGTGTGGGGGGTGGGGGAATAGACCCGCTGCACCTCAACAGTCATGTTGTAAAATTTGACTAATTGAGGGTTTGCTGAAGTCAGATGTGTTGTTTCAAAATATATAGATGTCGCAGCCTAGCTGAAAACCACAATGCAACCTGATAGCCACAAAACGCACAAGATGAAAGGTAGTAACTTGTAAATTTTTCACTGAGTTTTCCTCTCTGTACTTCAGTGGCTTAATGAATCATCATATACCCTACCAGAATGCAGTCATTTGTATCCATCCCACACAGTTACTGGAATTATTGATCAGATCAGGACTCTATAGTCTTGTTTCATCCCAAGTTGACCTAACATCAACTGCATACCAGGGCTATGCAACTGGCAGAGACCTAGCAAGTGGCTCGTAGATCATTGCCATTGTATTATATTAACGGTGGCTCAGGCCACTGACCCATGACGATCCCAATGTTGAACTTTTTGGCCTCTTAATAAATTTAGCTGAATGGCCTTGATGTATAGGCTGAAAACTCCTGGTCAGCAGAGGTGGCCAGTGTGATATTGACCAGATTTCCAATTGAATGACAGTAGGTGAACAAAAAAATATGTTTCTAGTGCCATATTATTGATGCACCGTGGTGGGAAAAGGGTCTTAAACTTTTGTAAATAACATTTTAAAAAAATGTAATGATACTTTTGTTAGACCAGATTTATGTTGTTATTAGCTGTGCCTTATTTAATTTTTCCTATTATTATTGACTTCTTCTTTGCTTTCTCTTTTTCCACTTCATTTGTCGAGGGAGATATGAGGTTCTTTTTTCTGATCGTCTGAATCATAGACATATCAATATCATACTGTTGTAAAGTTTCTCTGATGTAGTCTTTCCAACTTGTTCTTGGTCTACCTCATGATCTTTGTTCTTCTTCTCTTTTTGATGTACCTTATATGGTAGCTGAGTGACTACCAGATTTCCATAATTAATGTCTTTTATTCTTAGGAATCCGGTTGAAGGAAGCGCATCATCGCTGGAAGATGATATTGATTGGGGCTGCCCGAGCAGGTAAAACAAGCTTACGGCAGGCGCTCATGCATGGCAGGTCCCGCCTGGCTGCAGATTCTGAGCGCACATGGGTGATGGAGAGGCATTTGTGGGAGCCAGAATCCAGGCTAAGAGTTCAGGTAAAAGTTAAAATTTGAGAGGATTGACTTCATTGCACCAGGTTTTATCCCATATGGTTTGGCCTCTATGCAGAAAGGTTAGCAGTCCACTGAAAGTGTCACACAAAGCACAAACACTGTAGCTCTTGTGATGATCCCCATGACATCTTCTTAAAAATTGCTCTTGTGAACTAAGCGCGCGGCTGTGAAAGGAACCCACGATCTCTGAAGCGCCAGGTACATGGCTTGGCCACTTTGCCATGGAGACCCTCTCATGAGGTAAAGCGTGTTGTCACTGTTCTCTTGGCGCAATCTCCATAAGGGAGGTCAGCTGACGTGGAGCTAGAGTCGATCCTGGGAGTTTAGATAGAGCATGTAGTCACTGTCTTCTTATTGCCGTCTCCAGAATAGAGGCTGTCTGTGGTGGATATGTGCATCCACTGTCATGTGTGGCAATACTATGTGGGAAGGTCCTAAACTTGTCCATGCTGTGTCTCTCAAATCACTGTCCTGAAACCTTTGAGATCTGTCTTCTTTTATAACAACCAGCCATAGGAATTGAACCCTGGTGCTTGAGAATTATGAAGCACACTCACTAACCTCAAAGCCACATAATACTACTGACAACACTGAGTAATTAACATTCATAACTTTGTTTCAGTTTTGGTCGGAAGATTCAAATTTAGAACACTAAACATTAAATCATCATGTAAATGTTTTCACATTGACATCTGAAGGTGTAAGAGAAAGAGACTTTCAGAGAATCTTGGAGCTGGTAGTCCCTAGAGATGCAGAGTTAGGAAACGATGAAGTGTGAAAACAGACCCATTTGTCCACATAGTGCCACACTGATTGCCCCTAGGCATCTATGTGTGAAATGTCATATGAAACTAAAACAGATTGGGAGGTCCACTGCAGTAAAAAGTCTAACATACATAAAAAGCAAAGTACTCATTTGTAGGTAACCCAGTGGTTTGAAAGCTGTCTCCTACTGGCTTCTGAAGGCATAGCCTGTGTTGAATGAGAGGCTGAATGTATGAAAGTGAAGTTAAACAGTCCTGAGCATGATGTTTCGATTCCTTTGCTGAGCTTAGTACCGGAGCACTATGTACATTGGGTATATTTTCTTCACATTCACCAGTTGTAAACTCCAGTAGAAAGTTCTGGTTGTTTGTCCACTTCTGTACACTGGTCCTGTTGCGGAACCTGAGTTTTGCATGTCCACCCATTTTACAGATATGACTGATTTGAATGCAGACTATTGGTTCCTTGCTTCTTAGGAAGGAATTGACCCACTGCTTCGTAAACAAACATGTCATACGAGGCAAGAATTAAGGGAGTTTTTCACCAAAGTTTAAGTGCATTTGCCTGAGAGGCAAGGAACCAACAGTCTTCATCTGTCTGTAAAACAGATGTGCACAAAAACACAATTCTTGAGTAAGAGCACAATCCAGAAATGACCCAACAACCAGAACTGTCCGCCAGAGTTTACAGCCGGTGAGCGCTAAGAAGAAGAAGGTCAGTACAGAAAACACTTGGTCCTGATGGGGATTCGAATCAGGTAGTTCTGGGCCATCAGGCAAACATCTAGCCTGTGTTCTACCCCAGCTCACAGTGTGTTGACATGAATGGCTATGTTGTGAAGTTTAGGGAAGTAGATCCTTACAACAATAGACATTTAAAACAATTTCTACGCTATCTTCACTACAGTTTACCGACTGTTGTCTTAGGGAATATCATTTAGTGCGGCCACAGTCTCTTCCACGGTGTAACTCTCATACTGTTATTAAAAAACTTTGTGTTAAATATTAAAGAAACCATCTGCTCTTGAAATAGAAACCATCATACTCAAGGATCATAAAAATATAATGCCTACTGCATTTACAAAAAATTATGAAACTTGTGCAGATTTTAACAATTTCATAATAATTCTTACTTTTGACATCTTCTTCATGTCCTTGATTTTGAGATCTTGTTCTTGTTTCAGATCCTAGATTTTGGAGGGCATCACATCTATCAAGCTGCCCACCACATGTTCCTGTCATCAGATGCCCTGCATGTGCTAGTCTTTGACCTGACCAAGTACACATCTGAGGTATGCCACCACCTGACGTTTGTTCTGACCAAGTATGTTCTCACTTGATTATCTTCAGGGATGCAGAAGTGCACACTACACGCAGTGGTCATCAGGGCCGGGGCTCATACTGGTCTAGACCCATTTAGACCATTTTGCAGTCATCCTAGGAACAGGTTTTCAACCGGGGTCCTGGCTTACTTAGATTGTATCAGTGTTTCCTTCAAAGTCTGAGTGTGTCTGCCTGAGAGGCAGGGGAATCAACAGTCTGCATACTGACAAGCCAGATCTGGATGTGCACACAGAACTCAATTTCTTGATCAAAACCAAAGTCCAGAAATGGACAAACCATTTGGTTGGACTGTGTGACAGTTTTCCAGTTTTATTTTGATACCTGAGATTTATTGCAGGAGCTAGGAAGTTAGAAAAGTTGCTTTGTGCAGCAGCTTTGACACCTAGCTAGCCACTCTGTGTAGAGAGAGAGAGGAGCTATATAGGAGAAATCTCAGGTCGACTCAGTTCATTCTTTCACGTTTAGCTCCCTTTCACCTTTTTCTGTTTCAGGACTACGAGGAGCTGATAGGTCACTGGTTGGAAGCCATCATGGACAGAGCAGGTGGGGCCAAGATTGTGATTGTGGGCACCCACTGTGACCTGTGCAGCAAAGAGGATGTAAACGAGAAAGTTGAGGACATCATGCGGCTGATGAAACGGGATGAAACCAACAAGAGGCGTCAGATTGAGTACGAGATCAGGATGATCAGTGAAGAGCTGGATAAGCCGGAGTCCAGGGAAGTAAGCAGTGGCATTCCCGAGATTGGGATCGGCCGCATGCAGGAGAAGTTGAATAAACTTCAGAAAATGCTGAACTCTAGGTCTGAGGTGCGTATTATTGAGTAGAATCTGTTCATCTGAGTAGAGTAGTAGGATCTGGGGTAGGATCTAAGATGGGTAGATAGTCTGAGAATAAAGATATTGGTTGAGTAGAATCTGTAGATCTTGGGTTGGTAACCTAGGGTAGTATTGTTAGAGTGGATTTGACTAGTTTAATGTTTCAGACCTGTTGCATGCAAATGTTTGTAAATCTACATATTGATTGCTTATAGATCTTAATCTACATATCGTTTGCTTATAAATCTTAGTCCGCATATCAGTTGCTTGTAAACCTAAATATCACTTGCTTATAAATCTAAAACTACATATCGATTACTTATAAATCAAACTCTGTATATTGATTGCTTTAAAATCTAAATCTACATATCAGTTACTTATAAATCTAAATCTACCTATCAGTTACTTTTAAATCTAAATGTACATATTGATTGCTTATAAATCTAAATCTACATAACTGTTACTTATAAATAAATACATCTGTAATTGAAACATCAAACATAGGTTCATTCACCAAGAAATAACTAATCTCTTTAGTAACGCACCTGACGAGATACAGCGAAATATGTCTGGCGAAAAATTTTGCAATGTTTTGTTTGTATCTGCATTATTTAAATAACTAATCACCTACATTTGATTCAGATTCCAGAGCGCATATTTATAGTCAGTGCTGCTGACACCCTGGAGGGAATTGCAGAGTTCAGATCCTCCCTGATTCTGAAACTAAAGTCTGCTCCGGTCAGTGCTCTACCTGATGTGTGGTTCACGTTTCTAGAGCAGATACAGCAGGACAGGGAGAAGGTGCTGACCTTTGAACAGACCAGAGATTACTTTCAACAGGTATTGTATCTTTCTTCTGCATTTCTAGCCCTTGAGGTTAATTTCATCTCTGTGCTTGACCCTCTATGTGTTGTGTCTGTAAGTTTGTTTCTGCCTGTGTATTGTTTTGTCTGTGTATTGTTGTACTTTGATTATTGTTGTATCTGTGTATTGTTGTATCTGTGTGTGTGTGTATTGTCAGTGAGTTTTTGTCTGTATGTATGTGTTGTGTCTGTGTAAATGTATTGTCTTTGTCTATGTGTTTGTGTTATATGTGGCAGTGGTATTGTGTCTGTGAATGTGTTGTGTCTGTGCTAGTACTTTTGTGTGTGTAAATGTGTGTGTGCATTTGTCTAGGACTGCCATGTTGGTGTGTCTGCCACATGAGTGTCTGCTTTGAGTGTATTTTTGCATCTATGTTTGAAATTATGCATTTACCATCCATGTTTTTGCATTTTTACTTTACTCATATGTTCAGTGTTCTAGGGTACATATCAACATGGGAATCAGCATATGTTCAGTGTTCTAGGGTACTTATCAACATAGGAATCAGCATATGTTCAGTGTTCTAGGGTACTTATTCACATGGGAATCAGCATATGTTCAGTGTTCTAGGGTACTTATCCACATGGGAATCAGCATATGTTCAGTGTTCTAGGGTACTTATCAACATAGGAATCAACATATGTTCAGTGTTCTAGGGTACTTATTCACATGGGAATCAGCATATGTTCAGTGTTCTAGGGTACTTATCAACATAGGAATCAGCATATGTTCAGTGTTCTATGGTACATATCCACATGGGTATCAGCATAGGTTTAGTGTTCTATGGTACATATCCACATGGGTATCAGCATAGGTTCAGTGTTCTATGGTGCCTTTCTACATGGGTATCAGCACAGATTCAGTAAGGTAAACATGTAAACAGCTGACTTTTGAATTTAGTTGAACACAATCTCGAGTTACCGAGAGAAATGTAAACAGGCCCCCAAGGCTGTTTGCATTGTTACCAATGGTGCCTAGCGACAGAGAAGGATATTTAACAAGAGCACAGTAAATTACGTACACAGTAGGCGAGACTCCAGTCCTAGTGAGTTCTTGGCCAATGTAAGCGGCCAGTCGTGGTTTGCATAGACTTGCTTAGACAGACTAGGCAGAGATGTAACATGTGCCAAAGAACAGCATGGCTGTTGGGTGAACAGTCGTTAACGATGGCAGGCAGGTCGTTGTAGGGGCGACGCCTGCTGGTGGATGTAATGTCCTAAGTCCCTTCCCCAGCTAATAATGAGGGTACTGCTGGGGTGACCGTTTATTAACCCTCATATAATTCTTCCGGTCAAAATAGACGCTAGGCACGGCCACCTTTTTTTTTTTTAAATTTTTTTTTTTAAAGCAGTGGCAAATATTTTTTTTTGCCAGACGGTGGCCGTTGCATTTTTGCTCCATTTGTAGACTGGAAGGATGTAGTTTCGTCGCCCAGCTTCAGAGTTGAGTGCATGGCGTGACACTGTGAGCTGCGTTTGTTTTTCGTTGGCACAGGAGTGGAGCATCTGTGGGGTGACCCGTTTGCTATAAAGCTGAAACTAGGATTACCAGATTACTAGAGATGTAACATAACCTTAAGTAAACAGCTTATAGCGTTGCGGCAGGCAAGACGGAAGATAAAGAATTAAGGAAGAACAAAAAAGAAACAAATTAAATTATTGCACGTCATTAGTGCCAGAACGCCATGCAGGAAGAAGGTAATGTTAAGAGAGGACATTGACGATTTTTCTAATAGATATGAAGTTCCGTATAAAAAGTGAACTATTATATATACATAATATATATATTGCATTATACTGTAACCAGTAAAGGTAGTATATAAGGAGGTGAATCTGTTGTTTGAAAAAAACTATAAAAAAAATAAGGATGCCGATTTTTGCATCATTGGGTTGCATCATGTTGTTCTTGAAGTTTGTTTTTCCAAGGAGACACCTGATTTTAAGAACTATGTAAAAAAAAAAAAAAATTATGATTGAACTGCATAATCAATAAACAAGAACAGTTATTTTCAACAGCCTGATTATTGACTCACTGTAGAGAGAGAGAGAGAGAGAGAGAGCTCCAGATGTATCAGACAAAGGAGCAGAATTAAACCATAGGGCACTCATGGCCAAATTGTGCGTAACCAGAACAGACAGGATGGTTTCATAGGCCAACACTGGCACATATATTCAGTGTTCTAGGTTTCATAGGCCAACACTTCCACATATATTTAGTGTTCTAGGTTGCCTGTCCACTTGGGCAAAGTTCTCAGTCCCCAGTCTTAAATTACTTGTACATGTGGCTGAATCATAACTACTTCCACTCTGATGCTTGATTAAGAAGGAGCAGATAGATTGGCTGACACTGCCATTGTTGCAGATGGCTGGCCTAAACATTGCGCCAACATTGTTAATGCCATTAGAGAATGGACAGTGAGAATTTTGGGCCAATGCTAATATTGGGAGTAAACATGGTACAGCCAGATATGAGAGGCACACCAGATGTAAGAAAAGTGTTGTCAACCAACATAGAACTGGCATTGGTAGCCATTAAATGCCTCTGTATACTTTGAACGGAAAATCTGAGCACTTTTGGACGTGTCCTCAGTGCTATGAGGATAAATTAACTCATAGCTTTAATGAGAGAGTAAATACTTTGTAATTTCCTCAGGTGATGTCAGACAATCAGATCTCACAGTGGGGCATGGGAGGCTCACCCGAGCGCAGCCTGGAGATGGTCCTAAAGTACCTGCACTCCACTGGGGAGATAGTCTGGTACCACGACAACGATCAACTCAGGGGCACAGTGTTTCACCACCCAGAGACTTTAATTGACATGCTTCGGGCCGTCTTCAGGCACGACTTTGAGGACGTGGTTCATTACAACCAAGAGACTGCTACCTTGATACCCCTGCGGGAGAGCAGCTTCGAGAGCATGAAGAAAGACTTTCTCAGCCGAGGCCTGCTGACAAAAGAACTGCTGCACTATTTGCTGATTCATTTCAAACTATGCAGTGATGCCTCAGACACATTTTTGAACCTTATTATTTCTGTGATGTTAAAATTTAGTTTGTGTTTTGAATTTCAAAACTCTGCCAGAATGGCTTTAATGGGCTCTGCACAAGTAGTTCAGTTTCCGTGGTTTTTTCCTGACGAGAAGCCTCCAAACTTTGAACTGCAGTGGCCTTTGGCTCTTCCACCAAATAAATATGAATTGTGCATGGAAATTGTGTTTTCTGCCCAAATGCCACCAAATTTCTTCGAGAAACTTTCAGTCAAACTGCATAATTTCTTGTTGGATGCAAATAGGATAAACTGGAAAAATGGAGTACTAGCACAGAAGAATCACTCAACTCTTCTTGTCATCAGGGAGAGAAAGAATGACAGCATGGCAATCGTTATCAAAGCCAGAGGTGATTCTGACCTGCAGGAGTTGTGGAGCCTGATTCTGAACGTTCGACAAGCTTCGATGAACTTGTTCAAAGACTGGCCGCTGTTGAAGTGTGAAATCGACTTGGTCTGTATGCATTGTGTTTTGAAAGGTGTGGATGATCCTCATCGGTATCCAGGTCACGTGCTGGAGCACATGATCCCCAAAGGGGAGTACACTTTGAAATGCTGTGAGAAGTTTCCGGATGATTCGGTGCCGACATGCTTTGTTTTTCCTTTAGAAGGTAATTTGTTGATTTGTTTAAATGTGTGGGTGCTTAATGCAGATTTTGCTGTCTTTAACATGTGTGTCTTTAATTTTCTCTGTCTCTTACTGTCTGTCTGTCTCTTTGTCTTACTCTGTTTCTGTCTGTGTCTGTCTGTCTATCTCTGCATCTCTCTGTCTTTCTCTGTCTCACTGTGTGTCTGTCTGTCTCTGTCTCTCTGACTTAAATAATACTGGGAGGTAAAGGTGGCTGACGCGATTGTGACATTGCCTGGTAATTACCAGTTTTTCTGTAGAAATGTCATCAGCGTCTGGCTTAGGCGTTGGGACGCACTTTGTAATACCAAGGCGCTGGTTCGATCCCAGTTGCAGGCGATTTGGCAGTAGACTCTCTTGCATTTGTTTCAACAGTAATTAATCTAATTAGTATGGTAACACAGATGTTTAATTATAGATTAAAGACACATTCTGACCAAAATGTGTCTCCATACTGTTTGTTTCTCTTGTTGCAGAATCTGTTGTCCTCCTCTTTTTAATCACATTTTGTTATGTTGTGGGGAGGGTGGAGGGGTTGATGGTCTTGTCATATACTCAAAGAAAAGTGGGGGGTGGGGGGGGGGTGTGGCCTGAAAAAGGATTAAAGACGACTGGTCTAGTTAAAAGAGAGATTTGGAAGCATAGTGCCTACATACTGCTTAGCAGTGAACATGCTGCTTGGCGGTCAACCTGGTGGTCCTGCATTCAAATCCCTGAGTTGTCCCTGTGCGGGTTCTGGGGCCCAGTTTAGGGCAAAATAAGAACAGACTGACTGCCTCCCCAAAAAAGCATCTCGTAAGAGTCAGTATATTGGGGCACCATTTGAAGTCAGAGTGCATCTGCATGAGGAACCAGTAAGTGCATCTGTATGAGGAACCAGTAATCTGCATACAAATAAGTCAGATCTGTGAAAAGGGTGTGCATGTAACACTCAGGTTCTGGAACAAGACTAAAGTCCATAGGTGGACAAACTACAACACCTTTCTGCTGGAGTTCACAGCTGGTGAACATGAAGAAGAAGAAGAAGAAATCCCTGAGTTGAGCTAACAATTGCCATCATACCATTCGGAACATTCCTTAGGCTCTGGCCCCATCTTCAGCAGCCAGAGGAGAGTTGCAGTTCTACTGGTACCAGTAGCCGTTTGATAATACATCTGTCTTTTTTTTCCTCTGAGTGTAGAGAGTTGGGCAGATCCGCTGCTCACTCTCCTCCCCACACCACTTGTCAGGCATCATTTTACTACCTAGTGGTGCTGCACCAGTCAGTCTGTCTGTTTATTTCCCAAGACACCTGCCTGCCACGGAGAAAAGAATCGACTACCAGGGATCTCTGAAGTGATGCTTGCTACTGCACAGAAAATAAAATAAAGAACATCAGCTTATACAGATTATTGGAAAGAGCACATGGAAGATCCTCACTTTCCTCTCCCTCCCCCCTCCCCCAAAATTTTTCCTGAGGTAACTGGAGGAAGAGAAGAAGAGGAAGAAGAAGCCATGTGATTAGTGTTGATGGTCATTGTTTGCCATCTCACAGGATCACCTGATTCTCAGATTAGGTTAGTTCAGCTGCAGGCAGGCTTAGCATTGATTTCATCAATATTGGTGATTAACTGTTCAGGAAGTAAGGACAAACCCCTGACTGTCAGTTGTCTAGTAAAACAACAAGTGGTGCCCTGTTAACAATAAGAAGCTAAATCTTTTTTAACTTACTGCCCCCCCCCCCCCCACCCACTCCCCCTTCAATTAAATTTGCTGTTGCTAATCTATGACAGTTTTGGGTGCCATCTGTCGGATCAACTCAAATGGTCTTTGCATAGTGCAGCATGTGTCACTTGTCATTTCAGAGGACCAGGAGAATTTAGAACTCTACCTGAAGGCAGCCAGAGATTTCATGCAGAAGACTATAGATTCTGTGGATGGACCTGTAACAGGTGCCAACTTGGCATTGTCCGACAAGGGCTTGAACTTCATTGCTTCCAACCTCGGCCGAAACTGGACGGCTGTTCTCCTACAACTGGGTGTCAGCCAGTCGCTGATAGAGCAGCTTCAGATCAGCCACCAACATGTGAGTATTTATTCTCTTCTGGCGGACTGTTGGTGTTGGCACTCCTTGTGCATTTAATGCATGTGTATGCTGTTAGCTATGCCAAGACTGCAAAGTCTGTTTTCATAGAGAACCGATGGGTCTTCTGTGTAGTTTTTAGTGGCTCCAGAGCAGAGCAGTTAAAGGGTGTGACTGATGACTCATGTCTCTGTGGTTACCATATTTGTCTCTGCATAAGGCGAAATGCTTTTCCCACTTTTTTGTAGTTAAAAATGGGGCGTGTCAATTGTCGCCTTATACATGGAAAAATACTGTCATTTACCTCATGCCTTGAAGGTTAAATATTTGTTTCATGGACTGCGTTGTTCTGTCCAGAAGTGCAGTTTTTATAAAGCCAGCTGAGGATCGTCACTGGCACCAGAGGTCCTTTGTGTGGCAATCGTGACAGATAGCTAGCTGTTCTGGGTAGAGACCGAGCCATAAGAGATAAAACCACATGCAGTGATCTTGTCTGAGTGCAAGAGTTGGTGGCAAGGGTCAGGGAACATGTATGTGAAGGTTGTTCGGCTTGCCCTGACACACGTAACTAATTTTGTTTGCTCATATTTTCCTCTGATTACATAAGAATTACTAAGAATTAAGAGTGTTGTGAAATAGCCGTTCCGTTCACAAGTCAATTTTTACGGAGATCCCTGGGGATTGTCACTGGAGCTGCAGAGTTCGTGCTCTATGCAGAACTCTTGGTAGGCGGCTAGCTGTTGTATGCAGAAAGACTGTGCCATATGGGATAAAAACCAATGTAATGAAGTTGATCCACTCCACTTTAACTTTTAATCCTTTGTTTAAAATGCTTTAAGTATGCCAACACCATAATTCAACATCAGACCAAAAGGAGAAAAATCTCATTATCTGTCAGAATGTATTCACACAAGGAAGTTTGAAATACATACAAAATAGTGCTTCAGTGCTATTCACTTTATTATTTGACCATTGCTATATTATTTTACACAAAATAACTTATTATCTGACTGTGTTTAATACTCAACACTATCTACTAGCTGGATAAAATCTGCTATATTGTAAATGTCAGGGGCCAAAACAAAACCTGCCAGCTTCCTCTGTATTCCTTGTCTGAATGAGCATCAGGTAGTTGTTTGTTTGGATTCATTTGCTTATTGTATATCACATGCTATTTACAGGTTTTGCGTGGCCTTTATGGTCTTTTATGTTGTGATTCTCTACCCCAAAAAAGTATGTTTTCTCTTTATGTTGTATACACATACAGCAGTCTCATGTCATATTTTTCTATTCTTGGCTATCTCTTATAGTTCCATCTTCATTTCGTGTTCTAAAGTCTGTTATCTGTTTATATTGTTTACACATACAGCAGTCTTATGTCAGATTTTTCTGTTCTTTGCTATCTCTTATAGTTACATTTTCATTTCCTCTTCTAAAGTCTGTCATATGCTTATGTTGTATACACATACAGCAGTCTCATGTCAGATCTTTCTGTTCTTTGCTATCTCTTATAGTTACATTTTCATTTCCTCTTCTAAAGTCTGTTATCTGTTTATGTTGTATACCTGCAACCCACATTTCTTTATTTTCTCTTACAGTCTTTAATCTCTTTATTTTGCCAGGTCTTCTTGTTCTTAGTTTTCTGTACTAGCTCTTTCCATGTGAATATTTCTCTGATGAACTCTTATTTCAGGATTGTGTGAATATTGCTGTGTTCAGTGGACAGTTATTTCATGATTATATGAATACTGCTCTTTTTGATAGACAGTTATTTCAGGATTATATGAATATTGTAATCTTTGATGGAGTGTTATTTCAGGATTATATAAATTTTGCACTGTTTGATGTACTGTTTTTTCAGGATTATATGTATGTTGCTCTTTTTTATGGACTGCTATTTCGGGATTTATATGAATATTGCTGTCTTTGATGAACTGTTATTTCAGAACTATTATTCACATGCCTCTTTCATTTCAGGATGTTCACCAACAAATCATGAGTGCTCTCAAACGGTGGCGGGAGACAGACAGCGACACCACCAGCCCAGACGACAAGTTGAACTCTCTGTTTGAGGTCTTGACCAGCGAGTCCATTGGCCATATAGAGCTGGTGGAAAAGTTCAAAGAACATTTTAAATTGTGATGGCTTTGTCTGTAAGTTAATGAATATGTATGCCTGGTTGGTCGTTTTTCTTTTAACTGAAGCTGGAAATAGTTTGCATTGTCTTGAGTATAAATCTGATGGTTAGCTGCGGTGCTTTGTGTGTGAGGTGATATGTTGAGTGGCTGATGCATATGTGATACATGAAGGTGGTTTGTGTATGTGTGATACATAGAGGTGGTTTTTGTGTGTGATATATGGAGGCGTTGTGTATATGTGTGTCACAAATCTGATAGAAATGTTTGGGCCCAGAAAGGCTTGGATAACAGCTGGTGGCACTAGCCACAACTCTAGATAGGTTTCAGGGCTAATCTCATGACACGATAGTTACTGCCAGCATGAAAGATATTATTTACTGAGATTTTTATTTGCCACTAACGAAGGGCAGTTGCAATATTGCTGTTGTCGTGAGTGAGATTGATTACCAGAGTTAAGTATTTCCTCCCTTACGTGTACAAGGTAGCTCGTTTAGCATATGGCATCATGGTGCAGATGAACACAGTGACTTCTTAATGATAGTTTCAGGATGCCCCCTTCACTTTTGACATTCACAGAAGAGGAACAGAGTTCTGTTATCCATTTTTTAAATGAGTGAAACCTATATAAGTTCGTAGTGGATAAAGATCAAGTATGTCGAGGCATGCCTGTCAGTACCCCAGTTTGTGGTTTTCCTGTACGATGGGGTCTCAGTGGCCTCAAGGCATGGTGTCGGCCTTGAGTGCTAGAGGTCGCGGGGAAGGCTAGGATTCTTCACGTGGACCTCTGGTAATTTCCCCTGGTCTCTTGGTAGTTAGGTCACGCGTCCGAGTGTACACAAAAAAAAATCCTTTGGCAGTAGGAGATCAAAAAGAGTAGCCTAACTGCTCTGCCTGGGCAAAATTTGGAGTTAAAAATCTACCAGATGTATTTCAGGATCCTCGCTGGTGCTACAGAGTTTGTGTGCTGCGCTGAGATTCTTCAGACTCAGGCTTAAGTTAGAAGTAGATTGGAGCACTCATGGGTTACCACCCTTGTGCCAAGCTGTTGATGGGTTGCATAAGCATAAACAAACATAAACTGTACAAGGCCTTTAGCGACTGCCGTCAACTGTAAACTTGTCGTACCTGACCCTGTCATGAACAGTCTATCACAGAAATCACACCATTTTAAAACTTCCTGTTCTGCTCATACACTTACTGGTCTGACAAGCATTCGTCACCATACAGGACCTTTATTTGCTGATAGATTTCTATATGTTTCACCTCTTCACTGATCAAAGAACAAAGATGGACAAAGGATATAAGTAATGCCTTGGGTTGTAAAGTGCAGGAGGCAGGAGAGCAGAGGCAAATCTTGAATTTCTTCCAGACAGGCCATGATGAGAGCGACGTTCTACAAAGGACCTGCCACCTGATGATGATGAGCAATAATAGTAGCAGTAGTAGTAGTAGAAGAATAACATCCTAGTCCACTTCAGGGTAAAGTGTAGAATTAGGCTGACTGTAGTAAATTAGGCTGACTGTAGTAAATTAGGCTGACTGTAGTAGTGTATGCTTCAAGAAGTAGTTAGGGTAATGCATGAATCTAGTGCTGCATAGCGTGATCTATACAATGATCTATACAATAGCTGCAGCTGGTAGTTCGTGAGAAGCTGGCACTTCTAAAGATAATTTATGAAATTAATGCTTTCCGTATTGTGTAAAACTATTGCTCCTTGGAGTAATGTTTGTAGTTAGTGCACTTTATTGTAGTGTGTGAAACTTTTACTTTATTGTAATGTGTGACATTTTCACTGTTTTGTAAATTGTGAAATCTTCACTTTACTGTAATGTGCGAAATTTTCACTGCATTTTAATGTGTGAAATGTTCGCTGTGTTATATAAATTGTGAAATTGTCAGTGTATTCACCATTATTTCTTAAATTAATGCTCTTATTGTAATGTGTGGAACTAGTGCACCTTATAATCTGTGAAATGTGAGCACTTTATGGTAATGTGTATCTGCGCACTGTATGATAAGTGGAATTTGTGCACTTTATGATAAAGTGTATCTGCACATAATATGATAAGTGGAATTTGTGCACTTTATGGTAATGTGTGAACGTGCACTTTATTGTTACATAGCATAAAAGCAAAGTTAAAAGGTAATGTGTAAAATTAGTACACTCTGGTGATGTGTTAAATTAGTAGACTGTGTGATAATGTGTGAAATCAGTACACTCTGTGGTAGTGTGTAAAGTTACACAGTCTATGGTTATGTGGAAAATTAGTACACTCTGTGTTAACCCTACCAGACCTGAGGCCCTGAACCTAACTGTCCCTATAACCTGAGCTCCTGGGCACTAACACGAAAAAACCAACATGATGTGCAAAAAAATTAGTTACATGCAAACAAGTGGTTAGAATAAGATAAAACTTGGAGACATTGTAGAAAATAGGTTTACCTTGCATCTAGTGCCAATCTTCCACCTTTGTGTGCCAATCCAGTAGGATCGGTCTTGTTTCACAAAGTAAGCACCAGATGTTACTGTTTGAGGGATACGCCCCCTTCTCTTACTATCGATCTAGTTTTAAATCTATAATTTTCATAATTCTCCTCCTCACTCTAGCTCTCACTGACTGTGTCACTTCAACTGGGAACGTATTCTTCATGAACGTATTGACAATCTGAATTAACCCAAGTATCGATTACCTGTTGGACTGTGAAAAGCCGAGACCTATGTCACTTTCTTGTCGAAGCCGCTGGTTTCATTGAGAATTTTCCAATTTTTCACATCAAACCACACAAAGAAATCTCAACACACGTGGGAAGTCAACGACTAACCACCAAGTCTGATGGTGAATGGCTGGTTATTTTTAGACTGACGCATATTTTTCAAGTACTACGTAAATTCCCAGAAAATGTAATTCTTTCTGGAAGATTCTAAATGTGTTTATTGATCTTATTACTGTAATTCTTTCTGGAAGATTCTGAATGTGTTCAGTTTACTTCTGGGGATCATAACCTTCTTTTACTATATGTTTGAAGATTCTTGTTTTTACATGTGAAGACAGCTTATCTCAGACATCAGAAAGAGGCAGGTATGCTCCATGAAGAGTGGCAAGCATTGCTTCAAGGCTCCAGGTAGTTAGCCTTCTTTGTATATTTTCTGCAGGGAATGCCGGTGTATTGGTAAATGAACAGGCAGCAGGCTGCACAACTTGGTAGTGAATTTACAAATGAGATGTTTTAAGGGCCCTTTGGTGAGGAGGCACAGATGGATCATCATGGTCTACAGAGAACGGTGCTACAGGGAGTCACCAGGGAATCTGGCCCCACTCAGGGGAAAAGTGAGATGGATATACAGTCAGACTGTTACTGGTACCATCAGAATTGGAACTAAGCACTTGCTGCTGAAGGTGAGATAGAGCACTTATTTGAAAACCTTGGTACTGCATTGAGTAACACATGCCAGAAGTCTTCCAAAAGAGCAAACCAGGTAGATAGAAGATATGGTATTCAGATTTTATTTCATTATCATGGAAGAGGTCATAATCTCCTTACCCACAGAGACATTAACCATATACCTCCAGTACATATTTGGGTAAAGACACATAACTTATTCCATCATTAGTTGAATTATCATTACCTTGTTTCAAATAGGGCTCACAGTCTGTTAATCTATTTCATCTTGCAAGTTTCTGTGGCAAAGTCAGGTTAGTGAGCTGACAGCATACCCCAGCCCTCTTCCTTTCTCGTCCGAGACTGGCAATGGCATAGATATAGTTAAATTATCTAAAGGGTTGCTTTTATAATTTAATGTTTTGGGTTTGAGGTTTGAACGATGGATCAAAACCATGGCACGCGGGTAGTAACCCATAAGTGTTCCGTTCTTCTTCTAACTCAAGTCTGCATCTGAAGAAGCTCAGCACAGTGCACAGGCTCTGTAGCACTGGCAAGGACCCTGAAATACTTAGGGTAGAGTTTTAACTAAATTTTGCCCGAGAAGCTTCTTTAGGCTACTCTTTTTTATTTTAAACTGCTAAGGGATTTTTTACGTGATAACAATTCACACCGGTGTCCGATCTTGCTACCCAGAGACCAGGGGGAATTACTAGAAGTCCAAGTCCATGTGAAAAAATCCCAGCCCTTATCGTGGATTGAACCCACAACCTCTAGAACTCCAGGTAGACACCATGCCTCGAGACCATGCAGCCCCCTAGATTGAATGTGAAATGTTATTATTGAACATAGGAATATAACCCTGGAACATTGTTTATGCTGACTGTTGAATTAAATGACAGTTCTGTCATTAATTCTTCATTAGTTACTGTTCTTTTAAATGTCTAATTACACATGAAATGTTGTGTTTAAAGATTAAAGTGAGGATCAGTTGGTAGGGACTATTATATCCCTGGAAAATTTAACAAATATTTGAACCAGGAAGACATTTATGTGTTATTTTCTACACTATATTCTTGCAGATGTCAAATTATCTGTGGATATTAGTCTGCAAGTTTATTGAAATATTGGCAACTGTCCAAATTAGATAGAACATTATCCCCAGAATATTTGTCAGACACTTGAACCATACAAGTTTGTTCTGTACTCCAGGCTGAGAAAGGTTCTTGTAGACAGTTATCCCCAGAACATTTGTCTGACACTTTAACCATACAAGTTTGTTCTGTACTCCAGGCTGAGAAAGGTTCTTGTAGACAGTTATCCCCAGAACATTTGTCTGACACTTGAACCATACAAGTTTGTTCTGTACTCCAGGCTGAGAAAAGTTCTTGTAGACAGTTATCTCTAGAACATTTGTCTGACACTTGAACCATACAAGTTTGTTCTGTACTCCAGGCTGAGAAAAGTTCTTGTAGACAGTTATCCCTAGAATATTTGTCTCACACTTGAAATATTATATTTTTAAAAATTTCTTTTTGTTTTACCAGTGTTTAATTTGTTTGTGTACATGTGAGGTTTCCCTGGAATATTTTTCTTGGTTTTGAAGTGTCTTTTTGTTTTAT